TTTAATATGATTTGTATGTGCTTATACCATATGCAAGTTTTACCTGTCCAGTGGTGTTTGGGTTTGCCCCAACCTCAAGCAGGACCGTGGCCACCTCAACTCTACCTTTATATGAAGCCCAAGTAAGGGCAGTCCAACCCCCCTGCATGACACAAAGCCACCTCACTAAGTTTTGATCATTACATAAGAATGTGTTTATTTTCCAAATGTGATTATTGTACAAAATAAAACGCACATATTGCTTTTGATGCAAACTTTTGCTATTAGATTTTCTCACCATGTCTCTGTGCTCAATGTAAGCACTGTTTTCCAGCAGCTCTTTCACCACCTCCACATGCCCCTCCTTAGCTGCAGAGATCAGAGCGGACCAGCAGTCCTATCAGGGAAAAGCACAAAGACGGGTCGCTATGGAAACCATTGAACCACTGGCTAATGTCACCATGGGAACAGTGATGGAGTGTGCAGGAGCTGTACTTGAAAGAAAAGCCCTACAGCACAATTATAATGGACAACACACCTTATACAGGTTTTAAATATATGGCAAAAGTATTGACCAGGAATACAGAAGAGGTTTTACTGGGATTCAAATTCAGATTTTTAATTATTAAAAAATCTCATTTTGAATAATAATTTATAATTTAAGTTATAACAATAATTTTTGGGGGAAAAAGAAATGCTTTATGTATGTGTGTCCGTATTTTCTTATAACAACATTGTAATAAGCTGCTGATAATAGCCATCAAAAAATTATATCAAGCATCATTGAGAATGTCTGCTCCACTTTTGGTTGGTAAATGTTATGTGAATATCTGCAGTGATTAAACAGAAACAAGAGTGACTACATGCCAACTCTTTTTGTAAATCTAAAGTGGGTATTTTCTCACCACATCATCCAAGTTGACATTTGCTCCTCTTCTGATGAGCTCTTGAACAATCTCAAGACTGCCCTGCTCTGAGGCCAACATGAGAGGAGTCTGTCCATTCTGTCAAACACACAATGAGAAAGAGCGAGCTTTGATATTTCTAAATGTTAACTGATCGTCTTAAATTACGTTTGACTTTTTTTAGAACTTACATCGCTTCGACCATCCACCTCTTTGAACTTGTCAAGATGGGCTTTGACAGCAGCCAGATTCTCTTCTTCCACATAGCTGAAGAGGTTCTGGATGGCCAGAGTGGTCATCTTGATGGAGGTTGTGGTGTCCATGATTGCCACTCACTGGGACACCCTGAACAGAGATATATGTAGTCATTTTCAAAACACAGATTATGAACAGAGATGGTCTAAGCTAATCTGAATACTGCAGTAGGTTGTTGGAGGATAAAGATGTGAAATAAGCAACTGAAATGAAATTCTTTGAGATTAGAGACGTTAAATTGCTGAGTTAGCCTGACTGAGTGACAGGTGATATCAGAGCATTTGCTTCAGTGCAGGCCAAGAATAGCAATGGACTTTAAATGTCAGGAGAAAGGAGGTTGGCACAGATAAGCATAACACAGAGATAACAGTTCATTTTCTCCAAACACCTCCACAGACACACTCTAATAGGTTTCCCTACAGTTAATTAGTGCAAATATTCAGCTTAAATATCTATCAAAAAGACAATTTCATACCTAACACTCTTTCGATTTTCCCCCATCAATGCATTTATTTATTTGTCTATTTCTATTGCCATACCAGCATCTATAGCTATTATCATGGAAACATCAATGTATTAAAAGAAAACATAGGCTACAACATACAATAGTAATGAAAAACAACCAATATAACAAACATTATATAAGATTTTTCATTTGAATATCTGTCATTTATCATTTAACACTTCATTAAAAAATGTAAAATTATTCCTGGTGAAACAGTAAATAAATAAATAGACAGAATAATAGATATATAGAATGACAGGAGGATAAATAAAATATAAACACTACGACACGCAACACCCTATACCACCCTGTGTGGCAAAAATCCAACCACAAATCAATCCAAATAAATTTTTAATATTAATATTTTACAGCATTTGATGCTTATTTAATATGCGCCGGCATGTGACCCTCAATTTAACCTTCAATACAGACTAAAAGAATGTCTGTACAGAATGTTCAATACAGACAATACATTAAAAAAAAGAAAAAAAAACAGACAGGCACTCAACAAACAACTGGACAACAACAAAGAGAATATGGCAGCTCACTCAGGAATCCAAGCAGCTCTTTAAGCTCTATCTGTGAAACATGACACCGAAGTTATTCTTATAAACCACTATGTGACACCATATATATCCAGCACACTCAGTGTCACACTGTCCTCTGCTTTTGTGTGAATGCCTTTAGATTGCTGGCTGTGACTGCTGTCTGTCAGTCTGCTCTGGAATGGCATCATGCATTATTTATGGCGACCAAGAGTGGTTCACGCCTAGAGTCTACAGCAAGATGCTGAGATGACTGACAGCCCTACAATTACAATGGTGAGAAGTGCTCTATATTATATGGATATTTATAAAGACTGGTGAGAAGCACACTATATTACATAAAACAATAAAAAATAACTAGGCTAAGCATTATATATTATGTTTTGCTATATTTTTACATAAAAATATAACAAAATATAACAAAACAATAAATATAGTAATATTGTGCATGCATGTATGATGTGCTTCTCTCCATGACAGACAGACAGACAGACAGATAGATAGATAGATAGATAGATGAAAATATGGCTAAAAATAACTATATAATGTCAAATAAATGGAACCTGTGTGAGTAAGAGCACAACAAAACCACAGCACATTATCTGCCCGGTAATAAAGTGCTTGTTAATCCTGATATATTTCACTGTCTAAACATTATTGTAATTTGATATTAAAGAATGTATTTCTAGAAATAAACAGGGCGGGCAGTGCCTCGTCAACATGTCTGCATGTTGATGCACTTACTCACTATGAGAGACCATCCAATTAATCGCCATCAAAACAACCCTGAACAGATTAACCGTATCTTAGTACATTTACATAACAAACTACATCTTATTCGCTGTGAATGTTCAATTCTGCTTAATTCTACAGCTTGATGCTCGTTACTGTCCTTTAGGAGGCTATGAACTGTCAATCATACGCGGCATCAACCGACAAACGCGATTTAAACCCTACATCTGCCTTCTGTTACGAGACGTACCTCACAGAAAAGAAACGTTGTAATGCTCTGCTGTCTGAAGGTCCGTTTAGAGGGGCGTATTTCTCTCTAGTTTTGCGGTCTACGGCGCTTCTTTCTTCCTATTCACCATCTTCAACAGCCATTTTGACGAAGCAGAGCGCAGTGCTCCTAGTGTTTAAGGCAGCTTCTTCCTGGCGAGTCCCTGACAACACACGGCGTGACGTCACGCCTTACTCAGCTCAGCACGTGAATACATGTGATAGTTGACAGTATATATGGGAAGTGATACTATATTACACAGCAATTGTAGTCTTTTTTATTTTAGATATTTAATCTTGTGTATTTAATCCTGTAGTTGCCTTTCCTAGGGCAACAGAACAGTCTATGAATGTTTCTTCAACTAGCATACTGAATTATATGGAAACTTCGCCCTGTGGCCTTTTTGAAAATAAAATTAATTAAATAAATAAATAAACAGGCTACTTTTCACACTTTCACTAGTTTCAAAAGTGAACCAAACGCATGTTACTTCCACAAGATCACAAGTTATGTGGTGTTTGAAATCATTCTGTGATGGATGTATTGCTATGTGTACCATAAATACACACTTTGGCTTGTTTTGTCATAGTTTGACCAAAAATAAATAAATAGATTTTATTGCATTATTTGACTAAATTAATAGTTGTAGTGTGATATTTAACATCTCATTACATATCAAGCGCTTCCCTCATGTCTCCAAAGTAAAAACGTACACAAACATCTTAAGAAACTGTATTATAATAGAATCTAAAAAAAATTATCTAAATAATGCAATTCTGGTTCTGGAATAAGGGTAAAATAAATGTATAAATATCAATTTAAACAAAATTTTTAATTAAATTTAGGAAAGAAAGCAAGAAAGAAAGACAGAAGTTGGAAAAAAGGCTGTTTGGACATAAATGTGCCTGTAGTGGACGTAACATCCCTATAATATAATGTCAGCAAGATCAAGTAACTTATTGTTATCTATAGTGGCACAAAGTGCACAGTTTATGTCTGCAGAGCAAAGGGCAGATGTTCATCCAGGTTGAGGCATTTGAGAATACGGAAAGCTAAATTACCAATGTGTTTCAAACATTTCACTACTGAGTAATGAATGTACAACTGTACCGTACACATTACCTTCACAAAATGGTTTATCAGAAGGCAAACGGACCACAAAGGAGAAGTAAAAAGACCTTTTTTAATCACATAATTTGCAAAAAACAAATGTTCCAGATCCACACAGAAAACGTAATGTTTCAAACAAATCCAGTGGACATCCTCTACAATTTTGTATGTCTTTAACACAAACATCAGCTTCATTTCCAACCCTAAGCAGGCCAAACCTTGAAGCTGACTGAGGCCATACAAAATGTGCATTACTGTGCATACAGAATCACCACCTGCCTGACTCACAAAAGTCATGCAGTTAACAGTACTATCCATTTTTTTGCTGGAGGTTACTCTAACATTCCACTACTTTCCAAAATTCCCAGTTTAGATTGGATTAGTCTAAGAAATACTTTTGTTTATGAGAAAAAAATCTCTGGTCTTTAGATTGGAATGTATTATGGGTAACTTTCAGCATTTTATGTGAAGACTACATGGACGAGACGCTAACAAACAGACCATAACAAACATAACATGACAAAGGGCCAAGAGCCCAGTTTTTAATGGCGCAGCCATGGAATTCAATCTTAATTCAGTCTTGGTGACTTCAAAAAACAACTTGTCTTAAATTTTTTGAACATCATCCTTTGATCTTCTTTCCTTTTTTCCAATAACTTTATTATTTTTCGTTTTATTACTTTAGAATTTATAATTATTACTTTATTAGATTTTAGTTTAGTTAGTCATATTTATTTTTACCCCTACCACATTAAAAATCTTTGCTTTCAAATATAATGTTGCCAGCTTTCTGCAAGTGGTATTGGCCTTGTCCCTTGCAAGAAAATCCTATTTACAAGCCCAATGCAAGACCACCAGATTAGGACACTAATACTTGCTGTGACAAGTTGAATTACAAAGGCAAGGTCACATAATTCTATACAACAGTGTTTTCTTGGCAATAAAACTCCTCTTATACCAGTCAGATTTGATTCCATCATCTCAAATCACTGTCCAATCCCAGTACCACTATACTGAGCCAAGGGATGACTTACTCTATCAGTCCAGACAGAGGCTGGTTGGTTGGTTTATTTGTGAGCTTCAGTTTATCTGACTCTCTTCATGTGTGGCTGGAGAATAGGTACATTTGCCCAGTCTGTGTGTGTATATAAGATTGGTAAGGTGTTCCGGGACTCATGTGGCTTTTTGTTTCTGGTTGCTGTTGCTGTCTGTGCTCTCCAGACTTGGCTGTACAGTAGGCTGTTGCTCTTTCAGCCGCAGATGGCGTGGTTTCACAGGCAACGCGATGGCCAGCAGTATACAGCCTATGTGGATGCAGAAGTACCATGACCTACAAAGTGATGGAGACAGTAGAATATCAATTCATGAATGAAGAAAAAAAAAAAAGTTATGCATTTTTAGTATCTATTTTTGTTTGTCCAGCCCACCTGTAGAACTTGAGCGAGGGACCCACAGAAAGCAGAACGAAGGGAACCACTGTGTAACAAATGGCAATCTGTGTAGCCGCCCATGTGATGACATCATACACAAACTTGAGAGCTGGAGAACCCAAGAAGTACGGTCTTACATTGTGTCTCACCTGAAGGAGAATAGGGAACATGACATTAAAAAAGGGATGAATAACAACTAACAACCCTCAGAATTCCAAGCATTGATATTCATGATGTATTATGTTTTCAGGGAGACATTAGTGATTTAAAAAAATAAAAAAATAAAAAAAATTTAAGCAAAGTTTTCATCAGGTTTTGTAATGTATATTGCAAATTGTAACCAATCATTTTTGATACTTTTTTCCTTGAAATTTTAGTATTCATAACATCATTTAGCATGCAAATATATTTGGAAAAAAAAAAATATATATATATATATATACATAAAGATATTTCAACCGTTACGGATAAAGTCTTGAAAAGTAAATATTCCACAATCTGACCATTTAAATACTGTAATAAATATTTATATCAAAGCACATTTTAAATCTAATGTATTCATTTTAATATCAATTCTTTTAAAAAATGTAAATAAACTATATAAATAATGACGAAACAGTTCAGCAAACACCTGAGAAAAATTAGAACAGATGTACCATTCAATAAATAGGCTCCGTCTGTGTGAGAACAACAGAAACAAGTTTGACCCTTAATGCCCAATGTTGCATTTTTCCTATGCTTAGAAAAATGGTAAATCGATGCATGTTCAAAATGTTAGGGAATGCAAGTCCTTACCCAGTACTAGACATGTAGAAGTAAAATGTTAAAAAATACTTGACATGAAGTACTTACTTTGTGAATATGTATAATAAACTTATTCCAAAAGTGCTGTGTCAGCTGATTAGCCAGATGTGTCAATTAAAATGCATTTTTCTTTTCTTCATTAGTCTCAGCTACTGTGTAGTTTTTACCCACATCTCGTAAAAATTAGGTGTTATTTAATTGCTTCATACAATTGCTTTATAATGTCATAAGTAGTATTTCATGTATTGTCTACCCTTCTTCTTTTGCCCTTTTTTTTGACAGATGTAATTTACCAAAAAAAAAAAAATAATAATAATCCCTGTGCTCTTTATTGCCAAGCAAATGGCAAGATTACATGAAAGGGACAGGAATATTCCCTATGTGAAGTGCACTTTATGTTTGGTAGAATGTGATGTCACTCACAGCTCTGGCTGCAAGAGTGATGACGATGCCAGTGAGGAAGGTGAGGTAATAGCCTGGGTAAGCCCCGTGCCACATGGCTGACAGCAGGAAGGTTGCAGCAGTGGGGTTGTAGGGACAACGTTCATAACACACCCTACAAGACAACACACAATAAACAATATACAACAATCATGCTAGCATAAAAATAAAATGAGAAAGGAAATGATTCTTCATCTTTTCATCTAATGCTTACACTTAGTATAAGTTGTTAGTCTGTTTGCTTATGATGACAACATGTTAAAGGGATAGTTCACCCAAAAATGAAAATTCTGTCAATACTCACCCTCATGTCGTTCCAAACCCGTAAGACCTTCGACATAAGGGTGAGTAATTAATGACAGAATTTTCATTTTTGGGTGAACTGTCCCTTTAATTATTGATAAACTGGATAATTGTGAAAAATCACCAGTAGATGGTGTCAACTCACACAGAGATTACTGAAACCTGTGGTGATACACTCCTTATTCAATCTAGGACACGCATTATTTTAAACAAGCACAGCATTTAAAAATCTTAATTTAAAACAAAATAAAAGCATTAAAAATCGTACAGACCGCAAACATTTGAATGGTTGTGTACAATAGCAAAATGTGCTCTTCCTGTTCTTACCTTTTAAGCCAGTGTGCTGTTTGAATGTTCCAGTTATCCAGGAATCCCATCGAGGCAAACCATTACTGTCGTAGCCATTAAATCCAAATCCTGCTGCGTTATTGATGGCATCAGCTATTTAGAAAGACAGCATGAGTGTCAAGATACTCACATCAGAAATAATAAATGTTATGAAACCCAGAATACACAGCACCCAGTTTGTTTCTACTTTATAGGTGTAAAGTGTTTGAATGGAGCAAGTATGTAATTGCCAAATTAGGAATTCAGTGAATTATGAAAATGCTTGATGTAGTGTTTCATATTTCAAAGAAGCCTGTAATAAAATGTACAATAAAATATTGGTAGAATTTTCTTCTTACTATGTCAAAACCTACTACATGAATTGAATATCTGCACACAAATATGAGTTGGAGTTCCATCTTTTGTCTGAAGAGGGCAGTAAAACACAAGTCATATGGACCAAGTCTGTGTTGTGTAAGATGTTGATCCCAATTCAAATGGGTCACACAAACCAGTCTGCACAACAGATGATGGATGATGCATCCTAATGTGCAATTAATCATGCCGGAGGTACAGCATAAACGATAATGATGGAACGTGAAAGACAAACTACTGCTCGTGCTTGATTGAATTATTATTTCCAGTATGGTTCAACAGACACATATATAACACATTAAGGGGAGAGAAAGGACGATTTAGAAATAGGAAAACAGACTAATAAAAGAAGTGTCATGCCTGTTTAAAATGAGGAGTCACTTATTTTTTTGAGGGGAATAAGACATGATCAATCTGCAAAAAACTCTTGACTAGCCTGAGATTTTATAAATATACACATATACATACATTTATCAGGCTAGTCAAGTCTTTTTCTTTCTCAGATTGATCATGTCTTATTCCCCCTCAGAAAAATAAGTGTATGATGCCCCTGCGAATGAACAAAGAAATCAAAACATGATATCCATCAACGGAACATAAACAAAGAGAAGATGAAACAAACCAATATCTTTCAATAAAGATCAAAACAAGAAAAGGAGAGAGAAATCTAGCCAGATGGGAAGAGAAGGAGAGGCAGGAAATCCACGCACCCAAAGTCCAAACAAAGTAGTATTTAGGCCGGGTGGTCAGCATGGACAAATACAGGTAGACCACCTGAGCATAGAAGGGCGTGGTGGCAATAAAATCATCATCAACGTTACGCTCCACAGGACAGACTTTGCAGACGGAGAGAAAGACCAGCAGAGAGATGAAGCAGGTGGCCAGTTTCCGGATGACCTCTGTCTGTTGAGAAACAGAAATGCACAAACTGATATGAACTTGGAACAAGCCAGTCATATGTAACTTAATAATTTTGAATAAAACAGAGATAATATACACTACTGTTCAAAAGATTGGGGTCAGTGCATTTTTTAAAGAAATTAAAGGGATAGTTCACCCAAAAATTAAAATTCTGTCATTAATTACTCACCCTCGTGTCGTTCTAAACCTGGAAGACCTTCGTTCATCTTCGGAACACAAATTAAGATATTTTTAATGCATTCTGAGAGCTCTCTGACCCTCCCACAGACAGCAAGGATCCTTACAAGATCAAGGCTCAGAAACTTGGTAAGGAGATCATTAAAATAATCCATGTGACATCAATGGTTCAACCGTAATTTTACGAAGCTACTAGAATACTTTTTGTGTGCAAAGAAAACAAAAATAACAACTTTATTCAACAATTTGTCTCCTCCGTGTCACCCTGGCGCCATTTTGGAGAGTATCACATACGTAAACAACGTATGCTGTTCTGTGTCAGGAGCACTGCACGCGGATACACTGTTTACGTTGTTTTTGCTTTGATATGAAACGTAAACAACGTATCCGTGTACATACGTTGCAAAATGGTGCTATAGGGTGACGCGGAGGAGACGAATTGTTGAATAAAGTAGTTATTTAGTTTTATTTGCGCACAAAAAGTATTCTCGTAGCTTTATAAAATTACGGTTGAACCACTGATGTCACATGGATTATTTTAACGATCTCCTTGCTACGTTTCTGAGCCTTGATCTTGTAAGGATCCTTGCTGTCTATGGGAGGGTCAGAGAGCTCATAGAATGCATCAAAAATATCCTAATTTGTGTTCCGAAGATGAATGAAGATCTTACAGGTTTGGAACGACATGAGGGTGAGTACATCAATAATAATATGACATTTTCCTTGACCACTAAATCAACATTAGAATGATTTCTGAAGAATCACGTGACTCACAAGACTGGAGTAATGGCTGCTGAAAATTCAGCTTCACCATCAAAGGACTAAATTACATTTTAAAACAACAAAATAGAAAACAGTTATGTTAAATTACCAATATTTATTTCACAATATTAGTTTTTTACTGTATTTTTGATCAAATAAATGCATAATATCTTACCCCCAACTTTTTAATGGTAAACATTTAAGCTACTTGTGACATGAATTGGTGTGTAATGTGAAGTTATAAGCAAATACAAACAACTTAAAACAAACATTTGGTGAAGGGTCGTTCAGTCTGCTCTTCACATTGACTTTTCCTTTGGTCTCAAGGTCTCTGTGGCGATAGGGGGTGCCCTCGATGAAGGCTATGTAATCGTTATAAGAGCAGGTGGGACCAGCCAAAATCCCCATGAAATTACAGTTGTAACTGAAGTACTCCAATAAACTGGGCATTCGTCTGAATAAAACACAAATACAGAGGAAAACTAGATTTTAAAATTGCATTAGAACAAAAGTAAAATCACGTCTAGAAAAGAGACTTGAGATTGCAGTTTTAAATATAAAGGGCAAAGCAACTACCACAATTACACACACTCAATCAAAAACTACATTCCTTCATTTAATTTTGTCTTTGTATTGTCAACATTTTAATAATAACAGTCTTTTTAGTCTACATACCTTATGGCCAACAGTTTTTGACTTTGGTTTAGTTGATCTTCTTTCCTTGCCATTCCTATAATCATACAAACACACACAAAATATATCAATACCAACACCATCAGTCCATAATAAACATCCCAGATAATATATATAGATAGTAGATAAAGCTTCAGTCCACATTCAAGGTAACTGCATGGAAATTATGGAGCAGTATATTATTCAAAATGTCTCCTTTTTCTGTTTTCCACATAAGAAACGAGTCATCCGGGTTTGGGATGATGGAATGATGATGGCAGACTTGCAAGTTTTTGGGTGAACTATTCCTTTAAATACAATATAGTGGGAAATCATAATGTTTGCATGATTTGAGCACAGTGGATGTCCCATACGTGCTCAAATTCTAAGCTTGTGAGTTTAGTCTAACACTCCCTGGCCTCCCTCTGATTTACAGAAGTAATTAGAGAGGGAAGAAATGTGCTGTAAATTGACTTGGCTCAGAGTTCATGTGGTCGACTCATGAGTCTCCTCTGCCTCAGTTATTTGTCTTCCTGCACGATAAGACAAGGCAGGGCGACCCAGGGTAAGTGGCTTGAATAATTTCTTGTTGTTTTATTGCCACCCTTATGCATATAACAAAAAGACGAGCCACTTAAAATGTTTTCATTATGGTTTATGCCCGACTCAGTGAGCAGCAGCAGTGCAGAGACAGAGCTTCACCCACAGTATGCATCAACATGTCCCAAAACTAGTGATGGAGGTCAGCAAGGACTTCTATGGGGGACTTTGTCCTATTAGTGTCCTACGGACCATAGGGAATATCAGTGACAGGTTATTCGGGGCAACAGGCGAGTGAAACCACTTTATAAGCTTACATACAATTTATATTACAAAACAAGTAATTTTATATCACAGTAACAGAATATATCACAATATCTGTACTGGAAATCAATGAGAATTGCTTCATATAACCACATGGTAATGCCCTTTTCTGGATAATCCACTGAATTAAATACTTTCCAAATGAAAGGGACTTCATCTCATTTGATTATGTTCTATATTTATCTAGACTATGATGAAGACTAAAAGATACGATTATTCATAACAAATTAATAATATGTCCGACATCAGTCAAAATCAATCAAAACTAACAAAGACAAATTGAAAATAAAATAAAATAAATTAAGTAAAAATTAAATTAAATTAAACAAATTAAAATAAAATAAAATAAATGAAAAATCTGATACAATGCCGCCATGGCACAGTGTAAATCGTCATATCATCCAGACTTAATCTCGCACTAGACATTCAGTGAGGATAAAACAGAGAGTAAATCTTAAGGGAATCCACTCTGTTTAGAAGAATCTCCATAACAAAGGTTTGAAGGCTAGCAGCTGAACTCAGCAGAGGACAAAGAAATGAATGAGTGATAATGGTAATATTAAGAAGTGCGGTGTGAGGAGCACACATTATAAGGGTAATCTGTCACCCTGTGGAACAATAGAGGGGTGACGAGAAGGAGGGAGGCTTGTTTTCATTTGCTTTAATTTCATCCCGCTGCCTTCCATTTCTTTAATTAGTTTCTCAGGCCCTTTGGCAGCACATTTGACAATCACAACAGCAGTCGTCTGGAACAGAATCCACAACAGAATCTCGATGCATCATTCCTGTGTGTATTCTCAACTTTAACCAAACACACACACATTCACTCACCATCATGGATCTCAAAAGCCACACTGGTTATCTTCTGTGTGATGACCATCATCGGCCTGTCAGAGAGAAAAAAAAGAGAAATATGAATAGAAAACACGGACAACGAAGCTCAGAAACTTCACACAGAAAGGCGTATTCTTACCCCGTGAAATCTGCAGAGTACATTCCGTAATCAAAGACATAAACCCGGGTAATTTGGCAGAAGCTTAGATAACCCAGGGCGACCACCAAACAGTATCTGCAATGTGAACCAAACAGCAGGTTTTAGATTGCAAACCATTTCTGATGCATTAATGTACTTATGACCATTTTTCTTCAGATGTTACACATAAATTGTAGTTTTACAAGAGCTTTGATATCATGAGGGCCTGGAGGATGCCATACGGAGAATTATATGATCAATTAAAAGCCAGAAACAAGCACAAACATCATTTTTAAAAATAAGCTAACAAAGAGCTCAAAGATGTTTCCAGAAATGAACTCTCAGTGGTGATGAGGGCTTTTGATCTACAGAGACTGAACAGCAGACTCTGTCTGTGTGTGTGTGTGTGTGTGTGTGTGTGTGTGTGTGAATGTGAGTGTGAGTGTGTGTGTGTGTGTGTGTGTGTGTGTGGAAACACATTTTTTCTACGCTAATGAATGACATTATTGCTTTCTATTCTTGTATGATGCAAAAAAAAAGGATGTGGAAATTAAAAATGAAGGTAGAAGACAGAAAAAGGCACATATATTCTCAAACACACACACAAAGAGTTGTAAACTGCTAGTGCCATAGAGGAGTTTCATTATCGCTGACTGAGTTAAAAGGCTGCATGCGATTGCTCAGTCTGTATGGTATTTATTTTACATGGCTCTCTTGAACACTGGATTGTCCAATTAAGGCACATATTTTAAATTATATAAATGATGTACGTAAAATGATATTAAAAAAGCATTAAATTAAGATAAACTACTAAAAATTAAGATATTTCTCTTTTTCCTTTGAAGAACCAGAGTGCCCACTGTCAGAGATATATGAGGAAGTCTGATTTTAGAAGTGTGATTTATAAACCTGAAATAGTCATGCTAATTATTAAAATCATAAAACTCCAAGGGCAGTTTTTAAAGAATACAATATTTTGTACTCTCATATGCAAACATATTATGAATTTGTCTAGAATATTCTATTTTCAAACTCTAAAATACTTTTTAAAAAAAAAAATATATATATATATATATACACCTTTTCCTTAATTCTTTTCCAGCAAATCTAAAATAACTACATAAGTTATGGGTGCTTTGAATATTGTTGTGAACAGTGAGGGTGGCCTTGGTGCCTCTTCTCATGTCATAAAATAATTTGAACTGCAAATAATATTTAATGTCTATTTAATGATGCTCTATATGTATGCTATGCATGTAAGTAACTGTGTAAGTGGGATAAATGGAGAATCAGCCTGTCATTATCACAACATAAACCTTCACAAAACTCCTCTGTGTCCTCTGATCATGCTTTTTGCCAGGTTGCTGGTTTTGTTTGGTAGATTTAGCAGTACGTTAACTAGATATCTATAAGCTTAACTGTATATTCCGCTGTGTTTTCTGAGTCATGTCTAAGATGGTGAAAAAAGCAGCGTGGACCAGATGCTAACACGGTGCATAAAAACATTATGTTGTTTTCTGCTGTGCATGCAAACGTACTGACTGAGAGTTTACACAACTTCGGTTGTGTTCTGTTCACCGCACATGACAACAGAAGGTCATTCCAGTAATCGTGTGGTTTTAAAATGCAAGATCTTTTAATCTCACAGACAAAGGTAGGGAAAAGCAGATGACGCTAGCAGAGACTAGCATAACAGAAGCTCCCAGTCATTCTCATTATTTCTTATACACACACACTCGAGCTGTAGTGATGACACATTCAGCTCAGGTCCCCAGACACTGCAGGTGTGAGTACGAAGATAGACGAGGTGTGTGTGTGTGTGTGTGTGTGTGTGTGTCGTGTGTGTGCTTTCCATTCAACAATGATTTGCAGATCTGCAAAACAGTTTGCCCCCTAAAGAATGCCAAAAATAGAATGGTCTCAACCACTGTATGATTCCCAAAATGACACAACCAGTAACGTCAATAGCCTTTCTACACAACCCACCGATAGAAGACAGAAAAAGGAGGAGGAAGAATTGTCTACCTCAACAACTACCCCTTGAATCATCCTAAGACAGTAATATCAACTCATTTAAAACAAAATGTCCCTAAAGGGCCGTTTGGCAGAAGTCTGACATTGAGGCAGTTTTATATTTACCACCTAGTAAAAAGTTTCTGGCAGCTGGCAGGAGACGGCAGAGGGGAAATAATGGAAGATTTTATTACACCCGTGAGGAGGACAGTGACAGAATGATCTCTTTCTCATTATAATTATCTCTGGGTCGGTTTTCAACTCTTTCATCAGAAGAGTCGGGCTGTAAGAGAGGGGACGACTTCTATCAGCATGGACCTCAGTTCACCCTACGAATGAAAAGGGGGCCATGAAGGATTCGCGCACGTCTGGGTTCTACTGAATTTAAAGTAATGTAATGGTGTTTACAACCAGATTTTCTCCTGTGTTGTTACGTATTTCCTAGTGAAACAGTATTATTAGCTTTGAGGCCATTTTTGTGCAGTCAACACAAGAAACGCTGCATTTGTCCAGCCATTTCATGGGCTCTTTAGTAGGAAATGGAGTCACTTTTGATTTAATGTTGCCTTTAATGCTATGAAAGTTTAAAAAAAAATACAACAACTTTAAAGCACTTTTGAGTAATTTTCAATGTTGTTATAGTTATGAAATTATGAACTCACTTGTGCATGTGCTCGACTCCGGTCAGAATCATTATTCCATAAGTAATGCCACTCTGGAGCAGGAAATGAAGAGCATACCTGAAGAAGAGAGAGAAAATGTTGTTTCTATTAATACAGCACAATTTTGTTTAATGTCCACTATACAAGAAGAAACTTTCAAATGATACTTGCAGTATATAACTACTACTCATTGAAAAATGAAAGGCAGGACTCTAACTCTTAATATGGCAGCTGTAGGAACAGAGTTCCACCTTGCAGAACAACCTATAGTCTTTCTGATAGAGGTAAAGGCTAGATGTAAATGCACATTATCTGGATCAGCATAAAAACAGTTTTTAGTGTAATCTAAGTTTTTGAGATTTCAGCTTGTCCTCATTCAAGTAGAAAAGCTGAATTTGTATGCCTATTACCCAGACTCAACAAATGAAACTGCCTTTATGTAAAGAAAAGAAACTTGATAGAAGCTTATCTGTAAGACACACTTAAACACACACAAACACAAAAAGAGACAATTTAATAAGGGTTTGAAAAGATGGCACTAATTAGCAGCCAGACATTTATCTATCCTTGATTATCATGAGTGTGGCCTATTGATCTGTTTGTCTTATTAAATGAGATGTTAATGAGTTCAGGATTTTAGTCGCCACCGACACATCAATACAAGCTTGTGTGTGCCGACAGTCAGAACACAGACACTAATGTTTCTAAAACTATGTTAGTATCGACAAGACTTTTTCTATTGTTACTCTCTTAATAAAATTAAAACACCAGCTGTTTCCCGCAAAGGTTTTCGCAAAGTATACTGGAATTGAAAAATCTAATTTTATAATTTTTTACTCCTGCACTCCATTAAACCTTCTTTTAAAAAGATCATGTTTCCAAAACAAATTAATAAACAAAAAAACATGTTTAGTCTTTAATGTTTATTATTGTGAATTCTAAACATATGTGACCCTGGACCACAAAACCAGTCTTAAGTCACTGGGGTATATTTGTAGCAATAGCCAAAAATACATTGTATGGGTCAAAATGATTGATTTTTCTTTTATGCCAAAAATCATTAGGACATTAAGTAAAGATCATGTTCCATGGAGATATTTTGTAAATTTCCTACTCTAAATATATCAAAACTTAATTTTTGATTAGTAATATACATTGCTAAGAACTTCATTTGGACAGCTTTAAAGACGATTTTCTTAATATTTACATTTTTTTGCACCCTCAGATTCCAGATTTTCAAATAGTTGTACCTCGGCCAAATATTGTCCTATCCTAACAAACCATACATCAATGGAAAGCTTATTTATTCAGCTTTCAGGTGATGTATAAATCTCAATTTCGAAAAATTGACCCTTGTGACTGGTTTTGTGGTCCAGGGTCACATATATTATACGACTCACAATCCAAAAATGGGACCCACCACTCAACAAAATTCATTGTAACCATGAAAACTCGTATTTCTGTTTTCCATTTTTCAAATCCTTTTTTGGTTTGAATCAAATGTTGTAATGGTGTCTTACATCTCACAGGTGACTTTCTGTTTTAAAAAAATGTCCAGTCACTGTTGCACTGAGCTGAGGGAGTCATACAGGTGTATTTACAACTGAAACATGCCACATAATTTGATACTTGACAGTGTACTACAGACGTCAGCTTCAGCTCTTTTTATTGTCCTATAAATCGTTTGTTTATTCTGTATCAATCTCTCTCGTTTGCAGACTGCTACATTTTCTATTGATTGGCGTCTGTTGTATCTTTCTGGAATGTCACACCAGCACAAATCCTGCAGTCCAGCAGCAGGGAGTACAAGCAAAAACTGGTTTCAGTTTCAATGCGGACACACAGAGAGGGATGCGTCAGTATGGACAGCAGGCAAATACTCACCAGCCAAAGCAGAAGAGGGCAAAGTAGATGCCCAGCAGTGTGGCCACCACATGCCGCACAAAAGGACTGGTCTTGCTGGGGTGCAGATAGAGCCTGAACCACACGGCCGTGAGCAGGGCACAGAGCTGACATACTACAAAGTTCACCTAAAAACAAAGAAACAAATAAAAAACCCAATTGATCATCAACTGAACTTATGCCATCACGGCCAAAAGGCTGATACTTAGATGAGATGTATAACTTTTCAGATAGGTTTGACACTTCTGAGCTATTTTAATAAATATTTATTTATTTAAATGCATTTTAAATTACATTAAAATATTTTCTTTCAGTTGTAAACATGCAGCTTTTCACTTCACAAGATGTTTATGGATTGGAGCCGTGTGGATTATTGTGATGTTTTTGATTGTTGTGATGTTTTTGATGATCAGCAGTTTGAACTCTTATTCTGACGGCACCCATTCACTGCAGAGGATCCACTGGTGAGTAAGTGATATAATGCAAAATTTCTCCAGTTTCTCTGCCTGGAGCAAATTCCAGGCACGAAACAGAAAGTGCCTGAAGATCCCTGATCCTTTTAAGTGAGGAAATAGCGAGGAGAAAGATAGTCTTGAGCGTGAGAAACTTGACTGAAACTTCTCCTATGGGTTCAAAGGGGGCATTGCATCATTTGGTAGCCCCGCCCACACTGAAACCCCATTGGTTCAAATACTGCTCCACATAGCTGTACATTTAACGTTAAATATATTCTGATATTCAGTTAATTCAGTGTATATAGAAAAA